GTGTGGGAATGCCCATTTCCCCACAAACCAATCAACAATATTATCAAAATTATCTATATATATTTTTTATTTTTTTAAGATTTTATTTATTTATTTGACAGAGAGAGACACAGTGAGAGAGGGAACACAAGCAGGGGGAGTGGGAGAGGGAAAAGCAGGCTTCCTGAGCAGGGAGCCCGATGGCTCGATCCCAGGACCCTGGGATCATGACTTGCGTGGAAGGCAGACACTTAACCAACTGAGCCACCCAGGCGCCCCTATATATATATATATATTTTAAAATTTATTTATTTGAGAGAGAGAGAGAGCGCGCGTGGGTTGGGGCAGAAGGAGAGGGAGAGAATCTCAATCAAAGATCCTGACATCATGACCTGAGCCTAAACTAAGAGTCAGATACTCAACCAGCTGAGCCACCCAGGCATCCCTCACATTTCTGTATTCTGACAAACTCCTAGCTGAAACAAGATAAGACATAGTTGTTTGGATTTGCCTTTCTTTGAAGTTGAGCACCTTTTCATATGTCTATCAGTCATTTGTATTTCACTTCTGTGAACAAATCCATTCAGGTCTTTGGCACATTTTTCTATTGAGTTATCATTTTACTAGTGATTTGTAAGTTTTTAGATTATTACAAATTAGTCACTTGACATCCTATGCTTATGGGTTTTATATTTTACTTTCCTAAAGTTTTAAATGTTTATGTAATCGATTTCTGAATCTTTCCCTTCGATGGAGAATATAAGTTGGTCACGGGCAATTGAGTTCTGAAAAGTCATTACATTAGTAAGGTTCTTTGGTGCTCTGGGCCCCCTGGCTCCCTTCCTAGAGGGGCCTCCCCCACACAAGGGCCCCTCACAGGGGGAGCTTCCTGCTGGAGTGTCAGATTTCAGTATTCAAAGAAAGAGGCTGCCTGAAAGGTCTATATTTAGAGTATGACTCCCTATCAGGGACAGCTGAATATCTGGGAACAAATTTCTGCATACTTTGTCCCTGAGTTCTGGGATTATTCTGAGGGGCTTGTATGGGTGGTGCAGTGAACTTGTAACAAAAGGCAGGGAGTGAAAAGGCCTCTTTCAGTTGGTGGTGACTGCTTGGCAGCCTGTAAACTATGCTTTTCATGAGGGAAAAATGACACCGATTTCAGGGGTGTTGCAATGATTCACAGTCACCCACAGACCCTCACCACTGTCTCCACTGGAAGATGCTGAGCACTAGGGGCTGCTAGGGATGACAGACATATAGCACATGAACAACAGATCCCGGAGATATCTCACCAGTGTCACGATTAAATGAAAATTCCACCCGCTAAGCCTCATTTCCATCAGTGGGAGAGCAGTTGGTCCTGTCCAGCATGTGATGAGACCGATTTGATCACACGCTTATGTAAAATCCAAATAAAGTCCCTTGAATGGAAAGCAGGTTAATCTGGGAAGTCACCAGTTTTCAGGCACTGGGTTCATCAGGAGTTGGGTCTTCATTCAACCATCTAGGAGTCATCTGTGAGGAAGTTCTCAGACACCTGACACAAGACCATAATAAGTTCAGCCAGAACTTGAAAAGGTTGTAAATTGCTTGTGGGAAATTGCCAATTTTAGAAACCTGAATGTCTTTCCACAGATTAATTTACAGATCACATTGAAAACAGCCTGGTTTTGTTTAGGAAAATTTTGTACATACAATGTCAATAATTACTAGTATGTGTTGAAAACTGAAATCGTTAATAGCAATTAATGTGGCACAAAATAATGTGAACAAATGAGTCTTTTGCTATTTTTACGACCTAGTTTTTAAATGCCGGATGAAAATGGCTTGCCTGCATTTCCCAATGACAAAAACACTGAATGCGATGTTAAAAGGGGGGGGGGGAAGAACATTAAAAAAAGAAAGTTAAGCATCTACTCGCACTCTCTGCTTCCTTTCCGGACACCCCTTCCCTAGCCCATTTTGGTGCAGCAACACACCTGATGGGGAGTGTTAGTCTCATAGCCTAAGAGAGAAGGAGAGGATTCCTCTAAGAAGAGAAAAGGCCAGAGCCAAGGCCTGCGGGAGGGTGATATGCATACCCTCCCCAGTAACCAGAGAAGGGCAAACCCCAACCGCAAAGAAGTGAGGCCACTCGCTAGTCGGCCCTCAGATTGGAGAGGACAGAGCTGAGTGACCAGGCGGTGCGCTCGGGGGCTCGGGTCACAGACCGGTGGAGGGGGAGTTGGGGCGGACGGAGGTGGGGGGCAGAGTCCTATAGAACTCCCCGCAGGCCGGAGGGTGGGGTGGGAGGGGAGAGGGAGCGTTGGTGACGCGCGCCCCCACGTGACCTGGAGCTGCAGAGCGACGCAGCCTTCGGTGCAGTCGTCACTCCCGTCTGGGTACCGGCTCCCCGCGGTCCTGCGCCTGGCGCGCTGGCATCGGGCCCGAGGAAAGCGGAGCAGGTGAGGACTCCGGGGCCTGCGCGCCGAGGCCAGGTAGGCAGCTGTCGGCCTACCCCGGAGGCCGGTAGCCGGTTCAGGGATGGGGGACAAAGCGGGCTTAAGTTCCAGGAGCCTTCGCTGTGGTTCTCCCGAGTCCCCTCCCCCTGCCTCCGTCCGTGCTGGGGAACCTTGGGCTCTGACAGCGGATGGTTGGGGGTGGAGGGGAGTGGCTCTAGAGGGAAATGCAGAGATTGAGATGTCCCATCCTCCCTGACCCTAATCGCCGACCGCACACGTCCGCCCAGCTTCCTGCACATTTCAGGGGAAGGGACATGCCACCGTGGCGTTTACAGAGAAAATGGTGGGCCTTGGTGACTGGACGGTGGAGTTGGTGGGGGTGGCGTCTGGGAATGCGGGGAGGGACGTTTGATAACCGGGATCCTGAATCCCGAAAGGTGAGTACTGGGATCTGTGTCCTGGGTGTTGGCCCAAGCACTCAGTGCCTTTACTCTCTCCTGTCTGATGGACAGTAGTTCCGTGTGGCACTGTTTGTGGCGAGGCAAGGGAAGAAGGAGAGAAGAAAACTGCACAGGATCTCTGGAGGTTAGTGTGAGCACGGCCCGGCCTCTGAATAGTTGAAGTTCGGTAGGATTTCTCTAGGACAGGAACTTAGGCGCCGCTGTCCGGTTGGGATGTGGGGTGGGGCTACCTAGGGGACTTTCCCTAAACTGCGTTTACTTACTAAGCTTAGGGTTTTTAACTTAAATTGTATGTTGAAGACCAGTAAAGACAGCGAACTTTTCCATGGATGCTTTCATTTGCACTTCAGATAATATTAAGAAAATACAAATCGTTGTCTCAAAGAACATTCCTTGTTTTTTGAGATAGCCTTTGCCAGGAGGGATAGTGATTTTGCAGAAGAAAAAGCCTTCCCTCACTCCTTGTCTCTTCTGCTGGAGACTCCTAGAGATGGGTTTAAGGGGAAGTAGATGGCAGTAGGCTATGTTTGATTCTAGAGTAGGGGACGGGGGCCTCCATCTCTCTCTCCGTTTTCCAGTTTTCCAGATTTCCCCCGCCTGTCTGAGCACCTTGGTGAAGGAAATGATGGACTTTTGGGAGAAACCTTAGAATCCTACAGGTGGTTTTAAAATAATTTGCCCCTGTCTCTTCCCTTTTATTTCTCCTGCCTCCCTTTTACACTCTGCCCATTTCAGTGCCGGGGAAGCCCCAGGTTCCGCTAGCCAGAGAATGTGTCTCTAGATCTAGTAAGGCAGGTACTGGGACCCCTGTTTTAGATGCTGGGATGTCACAAGCCCTCAACAGTTCCCCTCCCTTTTTCTCTGTTTTTTTCCTAGGTCTTCCCATAGGCCTACAGTAGGGCTGGAAGCCAGGGAAAGGGGGAGACTGGCCTGGAACCATGAAGGTTGGTGTGAAGGTGCGCAGCGCCTGGGGATAAAAAGAGGGTGAGCACAGAAGGGGGCTGAGACTTGAGAGGGTCTCAGGGGAGGGTACTTCTGCCTCTCCTACACTCTGCCCGATTTCCACAGTGTTGCTACATCCGCTGCTGAGGCAGGTACTGGGATCCGGGATCAGGGCGCTTGTCTGTTCTGTGAGGACTTGGTGTCTATTACCGCCTGTTTGTTTGCTTGTCCATAGATCGGCCTGCAGGTCTGCTGTAGGGCTTGAGATTACTGGAAGCAAAGAAACAAGGAGGAAATTGCCCCTGATCAGTATAGCCTGGTAAGAGGATGGGCACTGCCTGGGTAGACCTCTAGGGTGGGTTGGTGGAGATCAACGTGCATCCTGTGTGGTCAAGGTCCAGTCTGGAGTATGCTCAGCCCCTCCCTTTCCCACCATCCCTGTCATGCTCTCGCCTTTATTTTGGTACAGAGAGTGGGGTGAACTGAGGGAGATAGAAAGGTAGTTTGATAATATGCCTGTCACATCAAGAACAAAATCCCCAGTCCCATCTGTCCCTCCATCTGTCTGTCTGTCTGTCTCTAGGTCCACAGATCTCATGAGTTAATAGATCTACTTTAGGGTATATCACCAATCAAGAGAAGGAAAGAGGAGGGAACTGCCTTGATCATTACAGGTTGGTATGAGGGTGGGGACCTTTGGGAGTGGTGACAAGAGTTGGTCCAGTAAAAATCAAGGTCTGAAGGCTTCTCAGTCTCTCTCATTCATAGTCAGTCCCCCCCCCCGCCACCATCTTTTCCATTATTCATCTGGTGTAAGGAAATGTGTATGGATGTACCTTCGGGGAAAGTTGTTGGGCACTGGGGAAAATGGGAGGGGAGAAAATAAAAGGGATGGAGAGAGAGTTGGCTCATCATCCTCTCCTCCCACCACGCGCATCATTTCTACACTTTCCTGTCCTTTGTGTATCTATCTGTATGAGGCACAACATTAGAAGAGAAATTTTAGTCCATTTCCTTCCTCCACTTCTAGGTCCACCTCCAGTGGCGGCTGTAGTGGCCTTTAAGTGGCTGAAGACCAGCGCCCTCACAGGCCTACACCCAGACCTACTACCCTCTTTTCCCATCCTGATTGAGCCCCCCGTACCTTGTTCGTGCCTTCAGTAGGGGTGATTACATGGGTCGAGTTCAGGAAGTGGGCTGGGCAACTGCAGGACTGGTGGTTTGGGCTGGTACCTGCTACTACCTTTACAGATTAACCAAGGGAAGAGCGCAGAGTGTGAGGACACTTGCCAAAAATGGGTCCAGAGTCAAGATGGGGACTGTGGTTGGGGTACAGAACCAGACCTTGGCCACGGGTGAAGCCATGGCTGGGACAGAGACTGAGACTAGACCCAAGGCCACATCTGGAGCAGAAGCTGAAGCAGGAGGTAGGGCTGGGGCTGAAGTAGAGATTACCACCACTGCTAAAGCCAGACCCAAAGCCAGCTCTCAGGCCATGACAATGGCTGAGGCGGAGGCAACGATACAATCTGAGGCCAAAACAGTGGCCAGAACAGTGGGCACGACAGAGGCAGTGACTCTGACTGAGGCCCAGGTCAAAGCCGGGGAAGTGGCTATGAAAGAGGCTGTGACCCAAACTGACTCTGAGGCTGGGGGAGTAGTCAAGAAAGAAGCTGTGACCCAGACCAAGGTTAAAATTTGGGCACTGGCTGCCAGGGCAGAGACCAAGAAAGAAGTAATGACCCAGACCAAAGCGGAAGCTCGTATACTGGCTGAAAAAGAGATGAAAAGAATAATGGTGACACAGAGTGAGGCCTTAGGAGTGATCAGGGAAGTGGCCAAGATCAGTGCCACAAGTAAGACTGGAACCGTGGCTGAGACCAAGGCAAGAGCCCTGGAAGAGATTGTGAGTGTGGCCAAGACTCAGTCTGAGGCCAGGCCTGGTAACACAGTTGATGCTAAGGGAAATCCTAATACTGTGTCCAGGGCAGAAGTTGGAGTGGACATGAGGTCTTGTGTACCATCTCAGGCTGTGACCAAGATCCAGGTCGACACCATGCCTGGTGCTGGGGTTGAGGTCAAGGGGAATCACAAAACCATGTCTCGGGCAGAGTCTAGGGCAGACATGAGGGCTCCTGCCCAGCCTCAGATTATAGCCAAGACCCAGGCTGAGGCTATGCTTGGGGCAAAGGTTGATGCTGGGGGTAATACAAATGCCATGTGTAAGGCAGGGACAGGGGCAGATATGAGAGTTTCTACACAACCTCAGACTGTGGCCAAGAAACAGGCCGAGACAATGTTTGGTGCTGGGGTTGATGACAGGGGAAATGCTGATGTCACATCTAAGGCAGTGGCTGGAGCTGACGTGAAGGTTGCTGCTCAACTTCAAGCTGCAGCCAGTGCTCAGGCTGAGGCTATGCCTGATGTCAGGGTTAAAGGAAGAGGCAATTCCAATGCTATGTCTAAAACAGGGGCCAGGGCAAACTTGAGGGCCAATTCCCAGGCTGAGGCCTTGCCTGATGCCAGGGTTAAGACCAGAGACAATCCCAATGCCATGTCTAAGATGGGGGCTGGGACAGATACGGAGCTCTATATGCAGCCTCAGCCTGTGGCCAACGTCCAAGCTGATGCCTTGCCTGATGGCAGGATTAAGGCTAAAGGCAATGCCAACACCGTATCTAAGGAAGGGGCTGGGACAGACACAAAGGCACAGTCTCAGGCTTCCACCAAGAGTCAGGTTGAGACCTTACCTGGTACTAGAGGTAAGACTAGGGGAAAAGGCAAAAGTAAGCATAAAGCAGGGGTCGGGATAGAAATGAAAACCTGCGCACAGCCTCAGGTTGGGGCCAAGACCCAAGTTGATGCTTTACCTGATTCCAGGGTTGATGGCAGGGGTGATCCTAATGCCATTTCTAGGTCAGGGGCTAAGGCGGAACTGAGGGCCTGTGGTCAGCCCCAGACTGAGGCCAGTTCCCAGGGTGAGGCTTTGCCTGGTACTAAGAATAAGGTCAGAGGCAATCCCAGTGCTGTGTCTAAGGCAGGGACTGGGCCAGATACACTGGGCTCTGCCCAGCTCCAGGCTGTGGCCAATTCCCAGGGTGAAGCCTTGTCTGGTAATAAGAGCCAGGTCAGGGGCAATCCCAATGCTGTGTCTAAGGCAGGGACTGGGCCAGATACTATGTGTTCTGCCCAGGGTGAAACAGATACAACAGGCTCTGCCCAGCCCCAGGCTGTGGCCAGTTCCCAGGGTGAAGCCTTGCCTGGTACTAAGAACAGGGTCAGGGGCAATTCCAATGCTGTCTCTAAGACAGGGACTGGGCCAAGTACAATAGTCTCTGCTCAGCCTGAAGCTGTGTCTAATTCCCAAGGTGAAACCTTGCCTGGTACTAAGAATAAGGTCAGAGGCAAGTGCAATGCCATGTCTAAGACAGGGGATGGGCCAGATACATTGGGCTCTGCCCTGCTCCAGGCTGTGGCCAATGCCCAGGGTGAAGCCTTGTCTGGTACCAAGAATAAGATCAGAGGCAAGTCCAGTGCTTTGTTTAAGGCAGGGGCTGGGCCGGATGTAGCGGGCTCTGCCCAACTCCAGGCTGTGGCCAATGCCCAGGGTGAAGCCTTGTCTGGTACTAAGAATAAAGTCAGGGCCAATCCCAGTGCTGTGCCTAAGGCAGACGCCAGAGCAGATTCAGTGGGCTCTGCCCAGCCTCAAACAGATACAATAGGCGCTGCCCAGCCCCTGGCTGTGGCCAATTCCCGGAGTGAGGCCTTGCCCAGTATCAAGAATAAGGGTAAGGGCAATCCCAGTGCTTTGTCTAAAGCAGGGACTGGGCCAGATATAGTAGGTTCTGCCCAGCCTCAGGTTGTGCCCAATTCCCAGGGTGAAGTCTTGTCTGGTACTAAGAACAGGGTCAGGGGAAATCCCAGTGGCATGTCTAAGGCAGAGGCCAGGGCAGATGCAATGGGCTCTGCCCAGCCTCAAACAGACACAACAGGCTCTGCCCAGCCCCTGGCTGTGGCCAATTCCCAAGGTGAAGCCTTGCCTAGTATGAAGAATAAGGTTAGGGGTAAGTCCAATGCTGTGTCTAAGACAGGGGCTGGGCCAGATACAGTGAACTCTGCCCAGCCTCAGGTCGTGGCCAGTTCCCAAGGTGAAGTTTTGCCTGGGACTAAGAAGAAGATCAGGGGCAATCCCAGTGCTGTGTCTAAGGCAGAGGCCAGAGCAGATACAATGGGCTCTGCCCAGCCTCAAACAGACACAACAGGCTCAGCCCAGCCCCTGGCTGGGGCCAGTTCCCAAGGTGAAACCTTGCCTAGTATCAAGAATAAGGTTAGGGGCAAGTCCAGTGCTATGTCTAAGACAGGGGCTGGGCTAGATACAGTGGGCTCTGCCCAGCCCCAGGCTGTGGCCAATTCCCAGGGTGAAGTCTTGTCTGGTACTAAGAACAAGGTCAGGGGCAATCTCAGTGCCGTGTCTGAGGCAGAGGCCTGGGCAGATGCAATGGGCTCTGCCCAGCATCAAACAGATACAACAGGCTCTGCCCAGGCCCTGGCTGTGGCCAATTCCCAGGGTGAAGCCTTGCCTAGTATCAAGAATAAGGTTGGGGGTAAGTCCAGTGCTGTGTCTAAGATAGGGGCTGGGCTAGATACAGTGAACTCTGCCCAGTCTCAGGTTGTGGCCGGTTCCCGAGGGGAAGTCTTGCCTGGGACTAAGAACAAGGTCAGGGGAAATTCCAGTGCTGTGTCTAAGACAGGAACTGGGCCAGATACAGTGGGCTCTGCCCAGCTCCAGGCTGTGGCTAATTCCCAGGGTGAGACCTTGCCTGGTGTCAAGAAAAAGGTCAAGGGCAACCCCAGTGCTTTGTCTAAAGCAGGGACTGGGACTGGGCCAGATACAGTGGGCTCTGCCCAGCTCCAGGCTGTGGCCAATTCCCAGTGTGAAGCCTTGCCTGGTGTGAAAAATAAGGTTAGCAGCAATCCCAATGCTGTGTCTAAGGTAGAGGCCAGAGCAGATATAACAAGCTTTGCCCAGCTTCAGGTTGAGTCTAAGTCCCAGGGTGAAGCCTTGCCTGGTGCCAGGAGTAAGGTCCGATGTAATCTTAGTGCTGTGTCTAAAGCAGACACTGGGCCAGACACAATGCGCTCTACCCAGCCGCAAACTGTGACCAATTCCCAGGGTGAAGCCTTGCCTAGCGTCAAGAATAAGGTCAGGGGCAATCCCAATGCTGTGTGTAAGATAGAGGCCAGGGCAGATGCAGTGGGCTCTGCCCAGCCTCGAGCAGATAAAACAGGCTCTGCGCAGCTCCAAGCTGTGACCAATTCCCAGGGTGAAGCCTTGTCTGGTACTAAGAGTAAGGTCAGAGGCAATTCCAATGCTGTATCTGAGGCAGAGGCCAGGGCAGATATAACAGGCTCTGCCTGGCCTCAGGCTGTGGCCACTTCCCAGGGTGAAGTTTTGCCTGGTACTAAGAACGTCAGGGGCAATCCCAATGCTGTGTCAAAGGCAGAGGTTGGGGCAGATACAATGGGCTCTGCCCAGCCTCAAACAGATACAACAGGCTCTGCCCAACCGCTGGCTGTGGCCAGTTCCCAGGGTGAAGTCTTAGCTGGTACTAAGAATAAGGTCCGGGGCAATCTCAGTGCTGTGTCTAAAGCAGGGTTTGGGCCAGATTCGGTGGGTTCTGCCCAGCCCCAGGCTGTGGTCAATTCCCAGGGTGAAGCCTTGCCTAGTGTCAAGAATAAGGTCAGAGGCAATCCCAATGCTGTGTCTGAGGTAGAGGCCAGAGCAGATACAGCAAGTTTTGCCCAGCCTCAGGCTGTGTCTTATTCCCAAGGTGAGACCCTGTCTGGTGCCAGGAGTAAGGTCCAGGGCAATCCCACTGCTATGTCTAAGGCAGGCACTGGGCCAGATATAATGTGTTCAGCTCAGCCTCAAACAGATATAACAGGCACTGCCCAACCCCAAGCCATGTCTAATTCCCAAAGTGAAATCTTGCTTGGTGCCAGAAATAAGGTCAGGGACAATCTCGATGTGGTATTTAAGGCAGGGGCTGGGCAAGATAAAATAGGCCCTCTTTCACCAAAGGCCGTGGCCATTTCTCAGGGCGAGGCCCTCCTTGGTGCCAGAAGTAAGGTCAGGGGAAATACCAATGCTGAGCCTAAGGTAGAGGCTGGGGCACATATGATGGGTTCTGGTCAGCCTCAGTCTGCAGCCCATTCCCAGAGTAAGATCTTGCCTGGGACAAAGGACAAGGCTGTACCCAAGCCTGAGGCAGATGAGGGCTATGCAAAGCCCAAGGCTGAGGCCACACCCACTGTTGAGAGTGGGGGTGGGACAGGCACTCAGGCCTGCAGAAAGACTCGACCTAGGGTCCATGACTACTACTGGAATGGGATTGGTATTGAGGATTGGATTGCTTCTGAGCGATGGATCAAATTTAGGTTTCAGGCCAGGGATGGATACTGGGAGAATAGCATGTCCTGGGCTGATGATGAGAATGAAGCCAGTATTGAGTCCTGGAGTGGGGCTAGTGATAAGTCTGATATTAGGTCCTGGGCTGGGGCTAAGGCTGAGAATGAAGTTGGTTTTCCATCTTGGGCTACAGCTGGGGACCAGGCCTGTGGGGGGCTCTGGGTTGGGAGTCAGGCCAGTGGGGGTTCTTTGTCAGAGGCCGGGGACGTGGCCATTGGAGCATCTTGGATTGGGGCTGAGAACCAGGCCAGTGGGGTGTCTTGGGCTAGCACTGGGAACCAGGCTACTGGGGAGCCCTGGGCTGGAGGTCAGGCCAGTGGGGTGTCCTGGGCTGGGGAAGATGCCATTGGAGGGTCCTGGATGGGAGCTGAGGAACAGGACAGTGGAAGGTCCCAGGATGGGGCTGGGATTCAGGCTGATGGAGGGTCCTGGGCTGAAGCTAGAGCTGGGAATGTGGCTAGTATTGGGCACTGGCCTGGGGATATGGACCAGGCTAGTGGAGGGTACTGGGTTGGGACTGGTGACCTGTCTGGTGGATCCAAGCCTAGATTTGAGGATCAGGCCAGTGAAGATATGTCCTGGGCTGACACTGCCGACCAAGCCAGTGGAGGGTCCAGGCTGAGGTCTGTGGACCAGTCTGGTGGTGAATCCTGGGGTAGGGCTGGGGAACAGGCCAACAAAGGTTCTAGGCCAAGGTTTGTGGACCAGTCCAGTGTTGGGTCCTGGGCTAGTACTGGGAATCAGGCCGGTGGAGGATTCTTGGTTGGGAGTATGGACCGGGCCAGTGGGGGGTCCTGGTCTGGGACTGGTGATCAGTCTGGTGAGTCCAAGCCTGGATTTGAGGATTTGGCAAATGTAGAAGTGTCTTTGGCTAGGGTTGGTGGCCAGGCTGGTGGAGGGCCTAGGTTGGGGCCTGAGGACCAGTCCAGTGGAGGGACCTGGGCTGTACCTGGGGATCAGGCTGGTGGTGGGACAAAGCCTAGATCTGAAGAGCAGGCAAGTGGAAGAAGGTCTTGGGCAGACAATGGGGGCCAGGCTGGTGGAGGGTCTAGGCTGGGTCCCAAGGACCAGTCCATTGGAGATTCCTGGGCTGGCACTGGGGACCAGGCCAGTGAAGAATGTAGGCCAGGGCCTGAGGATCAGTCCAATGGATGGTTCTGTGCTTGCAGTGGGAGTCAGGCTAATGCACGTGGGTCCTGGGGTGGGGCTGGTGGCCAGGTTATTGGAGGATCTAGACTAGGGCCCACGATCCCATCCAGTGGTGGGTCCTGGGCTGATACTGGAAGTCAGGTCAGTGGAAGGTCTTGGGCTGGGACTGGAGATCAGGCTAGTAGCTGTCCCAAACCTGGATTTGAGGATCAAGCCAATGGAGGAGGGTTCTGTTCTAGTGCTGAGGACCAGGCTGTTGGAGGGTCTAATCCAGGGCCTGCAAACCAGTCCAGTGGTGGGTCCTGGACTGGCACTGGGAGCCAGGCCAGTGGAAGGTCCTGGGCTGGGGCTGGGGATCAGGCTGATAGTGGTTCCAAACCTGGATTTGAGGACCCAGCAGGTAGAGAAGGCTCCCAGCCTGGCACTGGGGATCAGGCTAGTGGAAAATCTTGGGCTGGGTCTAGGCCTGGTAATGAAGCCAGTAGAGGGTCCAGGCTGGGGCCCAAGGACCAGGCAAGTGGAGGGCCCTGGGCTACGGCTGGTGACCAGGCCAGTGGAAGACCCCAGATCAGTGCTGAGATGGAGGCCAGTGAAAGATCCTGGTTTGGGACTGGGGTTGAGACTAGTACAGGGTCCTGCTTCAGGAGAGGGGAAGAGGCTGGTATTGTATCCAAACCCGGAGGTAAAAATGAGGCCAGTATTGAATCCAGATCAGGGGCTAAAGAAGAGGCCGCCATTAGTTCCAGATCTGGGGCTGAAGATAAGGCCAATATTGGGTCCTGGATCAGATCTGAAGAGGCAGACTGTATGGATTCTTGTATGGGGGCTGAGGCTGGGGCTGGGGCAGAGGTCAGGAAGGAGTCTTGGCTCTGGGATGGAGATGCAGCCACTACAGGATCTAGGCTTGGGGCTGAGGAAGAGGCTTGCATGGGGTCATGGACTTGGGCTGAGGATGTAGATGAGGATGAGCTAAGTAGAGCATCTAGCCCTGATATTGAGGAGATCAGTTTAAGGTCCTTGTTTTGGGCTGACAGTGAGAAGAGTAATGAGTTCAGATCCGAGAGGGAGAGAAATGTCAATTTTGAGTGTGGAGCTGGAGATAAGGCCAGCGCCAAGGATAACTTTGAGGCACCAACTGCCGGTGGAGTTGATGAAAGGTCTTGGTTCTGGGATGGTAATGAAAACACAAGTGAGGACAAATCTGCACCTAAGACTAAAGCCAAAAAGTCAGCTGAGTCAAGAGGCACATATCCATCCATGGTCCCTGGGGCAGGAATGGGGTCATGGGCAGGAGCCATGATCTGGACGGAAATGAAATTTCCATACCAAAATAAGTCCTCCTTCCCACCTGAAGATGAGCTAAGAAAGCAGATCAGGGATGAGGAGAAAACTCAACCCTGGACCTGTCGCTGTAAACGCGAAGCTAATATGGATCCACGAGAGCTTGAAAAACTCATTTGCATGATTGAGATGACTGAAGATCCTTCTATTCATGAAATAGCCAATAATGCTCTTTATAACAGTCCCGATTATCCGTTTTCCCATGAAGTCATTCGAAATGCAGGTAGAATCTCAATTATTGAAAGTTTGCTCAATAATCCCTATCCCAGTGTTAGGCAGAAGGCTTTAAATGCACTGAATAACATCTCAGTGGCTGCTGAAAATCATAGGAAGGTGAAAACATACTTAAACCAAGTATGTGAAGACACAGTCACCTATCCCTTGAATTCAAATGTCCAGCTGGCTGGACTAAGACTGATAAAGCACTTGACTATTATTAGTGAATATCAGCATATGGTTACAAATTATATTTCAGAATTTCTTCGTTTGTTAACTGTGGGAAGTGGAGAAACGAAAGACCATATTTTGGGAATGCTTTTGAATTTCTCTAAAAATCCGTCTATGACAAAAGACTTACTCATTGCCAATGCACCAACGTCACTGATTAATATCTTTAGCAAGAAAGAGACAAAAGAGAATATTCTTAATGCTCTTTCACTATTTGAAAATATAAATTATCATTTTAAAAGAAGGGCAAAAGTGTTTACGCAGGACAAGTTCAGTAAAAATTCTCTTTATTTCATATTCCAACGACCTAAAGCATGTGCCAAGAAACTCCGAGTCTTAGCAGCAGAGTACAGTGACCCTGAGGTGAAAGAAAGAGTTGAGCTATTATTAAGTAAACTCTGATTAGTTGTATGTTCCCAAACAAATCTGAGTAATATTTTGGTTTTGCAGTCTGGAAGGAATGCATATTGTAAATTGCATTACAACTTTGAAACTGATGTTACTTGTGATGGTCTGTAGCTGGATCGCTTTATGAACACCAAATGTACTGGAAATACATGTGCTGATTATTACCTTGCCTGGACTGAGATATTTTTAGTATGCTTCATGAGCAGAAACGACCTGATTCTTCATAAGTAAGGTAACTTTTGGTCCTTTGTGTGGACTTATGTTTCTACATTTGAGACTTTATTTTTATGTTATCAATAAAGTTGTGTGTTTTAAGCAGAAAAAAAGAGACACATCCTTGTCCTTGAGTTTATGATCTATTTGGAAAGGCAAGATGTATGGAAACAAAAATACGCTACCAAAGCCACAAGCCTCTGATCATGGCCAAACCCTTCCCGTCAGTGCAGAAACTTCTGCAGGCAGCAGTGCTCAGGCAAAGCTGTACAGAGGAGGGGGACACTTAGGTAAGCCGGGCTTGAAGGATAGGAAAAAAATAGGGCAGGAGAGCATTGGAGGAGGGAGGAGTGGTGGGAAGAAAGGCTTGGAAGCGGGAATCCTGCTTCGGAGAGGTGGCTGGCCTGCCTGGAGTTCCAAGTGTGGGAGGGGAATGATGGGAAATGTAATCCATCAGTCTGGGTGAGCCCCCTTCATGCAGGCTCCCTTATTGCTAAACTGAGGTGTCTGATGTTACTCCATCCACCCCTGGGAGACCCCAAAGCCTTCTGTGACCAGAGGAATGAAAATGAAAGGCCAGGGATGTAGCTGATGTGTGTGCAGGATGTGTCAGGGTTGGGGTGGGGACAGGAGTGGCCACTGGAGATTGGAACAGCAGTTAGGAAGTCACTGTCATGGTCCAGGCACGAGATGATAAAAGTGGGAGACTTCGCTACCGGCCACGAGAATGGCAAAGGGAAGAAGGAAGTGAGAAGCTGTTTGAACAAAGAAGTGATAGAACATATCTTGAGGGCATACAGAGAGGTACCATTCTGTTTTAGGGTCCTGGTGGCATTTAATTTGAAAACGTTCTCTTTCTGGGCCAACTCTGGGGTCGATGTAAGTAAATACATTAGGTTATTATTTTGAAATAATAAAGTATGATAGAAGAAAGAACAACGTTTAGTGCTTCTATCAGATTTCTTTTAGAAGGTTGATTGAGGCAGGGCTTTGTGGAACCATTGAGAGTGGTGTTGGCATCAGTACTGTAGAAGACCCACCTCTCTCCCACCCTAGAGTGTGGTGAGGGTAGGGTGGGAGGGGCGCCCTCAAACTGGGCTGGTGGGAGCATACATTGGTACAAGGTCCATTTGGATACATGTTCCAGAAGCCTTAAAGATGTGCATACCCTTTGAGCCAGTAATTCTACTTGTAGAAATTTATCTATAGAAAATGATCACATAGTTGGCTTGTACAAAGCTGTGCATCTTCATACTGTTTTGAAGAGTGGAAACATGTGAATGACCCAAGGGTCTCAAAATAGGCACTTGGCTGAAAAATTAGGGTGTGTCTACACAATGAAAAAACATCTTGCAGCAATTGAAAATGGTGATGGGCATCTACACTTATTTACTTGGAAAAAATTCAGCATATAATCTTAAATGGGGAAGAGAAGCTGTAAGAGTACACGCTATACTTTTTATAAAGAAAAAGTGTATATTTAAATTATCTCATGTATAAGCTTTGGCATGTACTTTGAGGTTAATAGTGTCCTATGGGTGTTAGGTTAATGGGTAATTTTACCTGTTTTATACTCATCTGTATTTTCTGATTTTTATATAATACACAACAAGAATTTTTACATAATTTACCAAGAGGAAATGGATGGGCTTGGGCTAAGCAGACCGGTCAGTAGCATTTCAGGGAACCAGAGCAAAAGTATAAATGGAGGCTCACATATTGATTTCTAGATATTTGGAAGGCATAAATTAAAATTTTAATAAATAAATATTTAAATAAAGCTGTAAATGTACGTGTAAATGTTTGAAAATTTAAATCTTACTCACCGTTTTAAAAGTATAACTGTTGTCAATTCTATTGTTCAATGGCCACTAAATTTCTAGTGGAAAAAATGATGTCGTACTTGTGGTAGTTTCTGCAATCTGCTGCCCTAATCCTCCTTCAGGAATAAAGAGGTTATTATTTACTTGCTAGGAGTGCTGCCAACAGACAGCCCTTAGCTGTCATCCCTTTTCAGGAACTGCTTTAACTGGAAAGTCACCTCCCCCAAGGTTATACCCTCTTCCTGGGGGTACTTCCATCTGATGGCTGATTGACATGGCCCTTCTTGCCCCAAAAGGGACAACTTAACTTCTCCCTCTGTCCAATCCTGCTTCCTTCTCTTCCCTTCCACAGATTTTGATCTCAAGAGCATTCCCTAGTAAAAGCCCTTCATGCTGAACTCTGAGTCTGCTCTCCAGGAAGCCAACCTACAACAGTTGGTATGAGGAGTAGTTCAGGAAAGCATACACTGTGATGAAATTTTGGAGATGAATCACCTGCTGCCCAGCTGGCAATGAGGACCCCATCACTGATGGTAGGTGGAGTAGATAAGCACCTGGGACAGGTGACAGAGGAAGTGTTAGAGCTTTCACTGATAGCAAACTGGGATGGCACTGCTGGAAGGGAAAGCATTAACTGGTTCTATGTAGCAGAATTTTGAGAAATAGGTGGGAAATATTAAATATAAGGAAGGCCAGAAAATTGGGTAGCTATTTCTATGCTTGATTGACTTCTAGAAAAAAAAAATAATGAGAAGCCAACTTAAATTATTCAACAATTAAGTGCTGTATGTCAAAGCCAGAGGGTTTCATTCGTAGCATATAAAAGAGGCCCTCCTCTTTTCCAGGTAGAGGGTAGAGAAATCTGAGGACCAGGCCCAGGACTTACTGAAAGCAAGCTTCAAAGGAAGTTAAAATCCCAACCAAGACAAGTCTGCTATGCCAAGATCAGAACCCTGGTTAGGAAGGCATGGGACCCTGGCACATGGGATGGGGGCTTCTGGATTGACATCCCTAAAAATCTTGTATCTTCAGATTTTCCTGGACACCTTGAACATTCAGAAGGGTCCCACTCCTTCCTATTAAGGGCTAGGGCTTCACCTTGCTTGATCCTGCAGAACCCTTTCTCCTGTAAGATAATATGCATTTCCCTCAGAATCTGCCCCACTTCCCATCTTGGCCACTGGGCCTATATATAAAGTTAAGTCACAGCATAGCTTCACTGGGGATGTGCTGGGCCTAAGTAGGAAGGAAAGGGACTACCCCAAGAAGAAGCTATAGGACCTAGCCAGCATGTACTAGCAGGTGCTGAGGGGGGAGCACGGGACTGAATTCTGAGGGTCTTGATCAGGGGAGCTGGAATATAAAATTGAATAAGGGAAAAGTAATTGTTTTGAGAGTTCTCTCCCAAAATACAGTATTTAACCCCTCCCCCCGGGGAAAGACCCCAGGAGATCAAGTGAACTCAATACTAGAATGGCTTCTCAGAGTGTGGGAGGGAAAAAAAAAAAGAATTAAGTGAAGTATAAATGCCAAAGTTGTCATAGCAGATTGGGGAGAAAGGATTAAAGGCTCAGGGAAGTGGGAATGATAGAATAAATATGTATGTCCAGAAAACACTCTGGAGGACTAGGTTCTGCAGGAGGACCCAAAAGGCACACTATTTGCTAAAGCTGCAAGGAATGCACTGGTGAGAGGAATGGCAGCATTGCTAAGAAGTTCAGTGGTGGCTTGCCTCTGCAGGCCAGGGCTCAGAGTAGGAGAGGATGTTAGAGGATGAAGGATCACTGATAGAACGGTGATGTCCTAAAACAATAGAGGCGGGATGACGGCACATAACCATCAGAAGTCGGTTGGATGCAAATACCATAATGCACTGCAGGGTCAGAGTGAGAGGCAGGGGGCCTGATCTGCAGAGACCTGTGGGGAGGGTTGATAGAACACAATGCTCCTGGTGAATAGATGGTTAAGAGGTAGTTAGTAGATTATGTGGTCAATATAACACAGTGCCCTGGGGAAAATAAGCAGCCAACAATCTGTACTCAATGTGAACAACCAAAAGAAATCAAAGATGGTCAGGAGTCTGAAGGACAGTGCCTCAGTAAAAAGTCACAATTCCTTGCTCAGCTTCTGATCCTAAGTCAGTTTTTGAACCAGGGTGCACTGTTTGAAGGAGGGGCTGAAGGAGAGGCTGGGGTGCCCAGGAAGAAGAACCCTATAACATATGTGTAGTAATGATTTGTCTAGTCCTTCTATTTATGCATGTAAGTGTATGCAGGGGAAAGAGGAATACCCAAACATTTTGAGGCCCAATGGACACTGGTTATGAGTTGATAGACCCAGAGACCTAAAATGTCATCATGTCCCCCTTCTTAGAGTAAGGGCAGATGGGAGCCTGGTATTAAATGGACTCCTGGCCTGTGTTGGGTTCAGAGTGGCTCCACTGGGTCCACAAGCCTACCTAATGGCTCTATTCTTGGTCTCTGAATGTAGAACTGGAATAGACATTTCAGTAGTTGGTACAAACCCTATATTGGTTTCTTGACTTGTGGAGTCAGAGCTAAATATTTGTAGATGAAAAGCAGAAGTTTCTGAGACTGCCCTCACCTTCCTCAGCCAAGATAGTAAATGAAAACATATAGCATCTCGGGGAGGATGGCAGAACTTAGCGCCACCTTTGAAGACCTAAAGATTGCTGGGATTGTGGCCCCTATCATATCTACATTTAATACACCGGCTTGGGCCCCTGCAAAATGTGGGCAGAGCCTGGTAGATGACAGACCCTTGCAAACTCAACCAACTAGTGATACAAGTGCAGCCACCGTGTTAGATGTAATATCTTTGCTAAAGCAGAATAACGTAACCTTAGATACCTAATACTTAGCTATTGCTTTGGAAAATGTAGTTTCATATCCGTATCAGAATAAAACATCAGAAAGTGTTCATGTTCAACAGTATGCATTTATAGTTTTTCCTCAAAGGTCTACAGCTCTCCTGTCCTCTGTCATATTATAGTCTGGAGATAGCTGGACCATCTGAATATAATACTAGTCCACTATGTTGATGACATCATGCTAATTGGACCAAAATGAGTAAGAAGTGGTTAGCGGGTTGGAGGCCTTGGTGAGACACATGTACTCGCCATGATGGGAGATAAACCCTACAAGATCCATGGGCTGGCTACATTAAGTGCAGGGTTTAGAGTTTGAATGATCAGAGGGG